CACATATGAAATGAGCATCCAGAATCCAAGATCCAAGAATCAAAAATATTTTCATAAGCAATAACAGAATTAACATCATCTTCACTATCATACATATCACCAACAACATTACAGAATCTGAAGTCTCCTAGTGTTCTTGCTTTCTATTTTCTTCAAGGTGCTTCGTCAATTCTTCACAATTTCTCCTAATATGCCATTTCTTATGACAATAATAGTACTCAATATCCTTTCTTAGATAGGATTGGAACAATCATCTCTTTTATCATAACATCTCCCTCGTGACTTGCTTCTACCCCTATTCGAATCTAACTCTGCCACTGAAACTCGTTCAGTATGAGACGTAACACTAGGCTTTTTCATATTTGCAGCCTCTAACAGAGCAGTCAACACCTCACCACAGTCAACGTTGTCTTTTCGACTAACAGTACGCAGTCACTAAAATCTCGTATGATTTGGGTAAGGAGGCTAACAAAATTACCATTTTATCTTCCTCACCAATTTTGACCTCTACACTTAATAATTAAGTTATATAGTTATTAAAATTATTTATATGGTCCCTAACATCACTTTCTTCATTCATCTTCAACTCATACAAGTGCTTCTTCAAATATAGTTTAGTTATTAGGGATTTCGACATATAAACTTTTTTTAATTTTTTCCATAACTCAGAAGGAGATGTTTCATTCATAATACTATATTTCACTTCAGGAGCCAAACTTGAACGAATTATGCTTACCGCTCTCACTTCCAATTTTTTCTAATCTTTATCTTTCATATTTTATGGCTTCTTTCCTTACAATACTTTCAGTCATCCCTGTTGAATCAAAACATCTTTAACCGTACTCTATCATATGCTTAAATTACTCTTCTCGTCAAAACACTCAATCTGCTCAAACTTTATCTCGGACATCATCTTGAGTGCTACACCCACGCAATAGAAAAATAAACTAAAACAAAAATAACAAAAAAAATAGAGAAGACAAAGATTTAGGTGATTAGGAAAATTTTCTACGTCCGCGGAAGAGGAGAAAAATTCACTAACATTTTCATAATTACACACTCAACAAACTTTCTCACTTACTCTCTCTACCTAAAGCCTCTTACACCTTTGCCTATCTATCTCCTGACTTTTCTCTCTCTCTCTCTCTCTTTCTCTCTCAAAATGAGGCACTCTGTCACTACACTTTTCTCTTAGTACACTTTTCTCTGAGCACACAAAGCACTTATTTATAGGCTCCTAATAACCCTTGCCCAAAAACAAAAAATAGTAACTTACCAAAAAACATGAAATAGTAACTTTTTCAAAACCAATTTGAGTCACTTACCTAACAAGAGGGATGTACAAGTGGATGTAACCAATTCATCAATGCTAGCTCGAATATTGTCGAGACTCTTGGTGCTTCTCAAGGTGGATGCATTGGTAGGACTTCTAACGAACATGTGGGGAAGACTAAGTTCGAGTTAGGCCAAAGAAACCATAATCTAGGGACCGCTTCATTGCCAAAAGGACTAAAATACCCCTACAAAAGTGTTAGAAAACCTAAAAACAACAAAGAAGAAAATCATATGGGTGAAAGTTGGTGTGGGGAGTAACCAAAGGTTGATGAAGAATGGACTTGGGTTGGATAAGGCCTTAACAGAGCGAATATGACTCGTGTAATGGATAAGGCTTTAAAAGAACAGATAATGTTGCTCCGGAGGCCACCTCGAGAGGAGTGGGGTTGAGATGAGCTCTTATGGCTGATAATAAGGATGAAGTCTTAATACTTTTTGAGCTTCAAAATATGCTACGTGAGACGAACGCCTGTCGCTTTGGAGGTATTCGAATCTGTCAAGAAAGCTCAAGGAAGTTTCAAACACTCTCAGGGGGTGAGCGAATGGAGATTCAACATCACTTCTTGAGGGATGTAGTAGCTCGGAGCACTCCAAAATCAGTAAAACCTCGAGAACAAGAATGTTTGAGTCTTTAGCACAAAAGACACTAGAAATGAAGAAAATCGCTTAAATGAAATGATCAGAAGTTGATCAGGGGTGTAATGGTTTTTTTTTTTTTTTTGAAATATGTGGAAGAGGGGATATTTATGGGAGAAATTAGGAAGCTGTGATACTTGCTCCGAGACACAATACCGTATGCTCTAACGGAAACCTATACACATAATTCCCTTTAGAGAAAAATCATTAACTGCCTTCCCAGAGGTGACAAACAGGTCGACCAAAAAGGCGAGAATGGTGGAGTGTCACGATAACACGGAGCCATACGACATGCTCTAATGGAAACTTACACACACAATTTCCTTTCAGAGTAGAATCGCCAGTTGACTTATCGGGGTTGACAAAAAGGATGACAAAACACCAAATTGAATGTTTTGGATGCTTACTCTATGGGAGATTGGACAGCGCTCTGATAGAGGACTGTACACTCCATTTCTTTGAGAGCTGAAAAACGATGAAGTTATGACCCTGTTTATTTCCGTTTTCATTTCTATTTTTTACGTTTTTCGAGACTAAAAAATGAAAACAGAAACAAAAAATGCGTTTGGCCTAAAAATTTTTTAAAAACAAAAACAAAACCGTTTTTGTCTTTTATGAAAAATTGAAAACGAAAAAAATGTGTTTTCATTTTCTCGTTTTCGTTTTCTGAAAATGGATTTCATTTTTTTTTTCATTTTCTTCTCTCTTTTCTGAAACTGTTTTTGTCTTATATAATGATGTTTATTTAATATTATTTATTTAATATATTATTATTTAATATATTTAATAATATTATTATTTTAAATATTATTACATGTTTTCAAAAATTAAACCACCAAACGCAGTTTCAGTTTTTTTTTTAAAACTGAAATCAATCTCTAAATAAAACTACCAAACGCATTTCTAGAATAATTTCAAAATGAAAATGAAAACGTTTTCATTTCTATTTTCATACAGAAAACAAAAACATTTTGGAACCAATTCCAAACGCACCATACCTTTTTACTGATGGGGAAGGTTCTAGAAGTGAATTTCTTCAATTCTTAAACTCTCAAGGGCTGAAATGAATAGATTGGGTTTCCAAAAGACACAAGGAAGGTTTTTTGGATTTAATTTTTCATCACTTATTTATTCCTAACTTGATTAATTTGAAAACTCCCCAAGTAGGATTTAAATTAATGTCAAGTCAAGAGATAAATGGCCCAATACCCATAGCCCACCACCACGACCCACATGAGTTCCCCGAGTGTGGCTTAAGTTCACGAAGCGAGTCTAACAACGTCATGTGACAAAGTTATTAGACTTGGACCCTTATATTGAATTGTCTGGAAGAGATCTGAAGATACATCGCTAAAGCAAATTTGAACTAAAAATTTTGAAACTCATTTTAACTTGAGCCTTTTATTTGATATCTCGATCCCTTTTATCCATTGATCCTTAGAGAAAGGAAACAAATACTCCTATAGTTATTTGACTAAAACGAATATTAATCAAGAGTAAGATGTAAAAATCTAAACTCGTGCATTCTAAGTGGTGTTTGTCTTCTTTCCCCTATCATATTTATTCAAATAAATGTATTAGTCAAAAGGGAGTTAATTAAGAGTATAAGGTAAAAATCAAGACCCATAACACTTTAAGATAAGTTCAACAACTTTCTCTGGATCCTTTTGAATCCATTGATCCCTATAATCTCGTTAATCCTTGATCCTTTTGATCCTATAGATCTCATTGATCCCATTGAAGCCGTTGAAGAGTATTGTCAAAGATCTTCCACCACCTCTAATTTCATAACAACAATTTTATTGGGACTATTGAAATATCAGTTTCTAATTTTTAATCCGTTTCTAATATTGTTTAGAATATCATTAGGCTACTCATTATTGATAATTGGGTAGTTTCCATTATTTGTTAGTTTACTTTTTTATTTGCATTAGTTTCTTTTCTTGTTTTTTGTTCCATATAAATAAGGTGGGTATTGTCTCTGTTAAATTTATCAGTGAATAAACAAAAAATGTATTCTTAATATGTAAACATATTGTCGAATCACGTTAAATTCTTTATTCTTCTTCTCTTCTATCTTTCTTTTTTTCATTCATTTATTTATTTTTCTTTTCAAGTTAAATAACATCATCAATTTATTACTTATAAATAATGAATTAAGTCATGACTTTTAAACCTCAAGCCAATAATCAAATAGAGCCAATATGAGTCAAATAAAAAGGCTAAGAGCATGAGCAAATATTTTCCTATTTTTCAAATTGAATGTTCCTTTCTGCACATGAATAATCTAAAACAAATTAAATGCACTAGTTTGTTTATTTTAGAAAGAGCCAAGTCTTTTTCCAAACAAAAAGATGAAAAAGACGAAAAAGAGTGAGGGGAAAAAAAAAAAAGACTTTCTTCTGTGAAGTCTCTCTATTGGAACTTGGTAAGGCGTAGAATAAGAAACTTTTTTTCTTTTTTTTTTGAAAAGGGTGTATGACTTTTTCTTGATACACACGTGTTGTGCTGCGGTATAACATTTGCCACAGAAAATGATTATCATGTTTAGTTATGACTAGTCTTCTGGTTATTCCTTTTATCCAATTCCTCGATTGTTGGAACTCGATAAGAGAAGTAGAAAAAAACCAGGTGTAACAATAAAATGGGCAGATGGGTTTACTGATTTATTGCATCTCATCTACAGTTTTTTTTTTTTTTTTTTTTAAGATTTATTAGCCAAGTCAATACCTCAACAATAAACTGTCAGACCCTAAAAACTCTGTGAATTCCTTCATTAGTCATATGCCCTAAAATTACTGCTTTCAAAGAGCATTTTTTGCAGCCGAACTTAATGAAATGTTCGAGTGTTAGTCGACGTTGTGAAACTTTTTACTTCACTATAAAATGCACGTTATTACTTCACTACTCGCAAGTCATCAAACTTCTCATTAAACTAATTACATTTCTTCACTTTTAATTTTAACTTTTTCCGCTTTCTCTAATTTATTAACCCTTTTGGTTATTTCTCTTTTTCAATCCACGTTTAGATGGACACAGAGACAATAAGAACCATCGTAGGCATTGTTGGTCAGTCCCTTTCAAAAGTACCTTAATTATGTATTACCTCATTTGTTTCATAGGATTAAATTACTGTTATAGTATTTTCTCTTATAAAATTTAAATTATTGTTCAATCCTACAAACCAAACTATCAAAATATTTTTCTATTTTCTAATTTGCTTTTAGGGTAGTTAAAAACACCCCTTTTTTTTTTTCATTGTATTTGATATTTTCTTTCCCAGCTATAGCTATTCTTAATCACAATAGCCTCGTTCGTTTCGCTTATTCAAGTTTAGAATTCGAGTTTTGCTACAGTAAAAAACTCTCACAAACAGTCACATCTAACTTTTTTACTACAGTAAAAACTTGAATTTTAAACTCGAATCAGCGAAACGAATGAGGCCAATATTTCTAGTCATGGTTTATGAGTACCTGAAAATCCTAAAAAAAAAAAAAAAAAAAAAGAGGAAAAAATATATTTGTTATCTATATTTCTTTGGTACTCATGTAGCTTAATCTGTTCCTTTTTTCTTGGCAGGAAATGTCATATCTCTTGGACTATTTCTCTCCCCCATGTAATCTTCTTTATCTCTGTCACATACACACGCATTCATACCATGATAATCTTTTTTTATTGTACATGAAAACAATGGACCAGATCACTAATTTGTTTAATTGCATACTGCAGACCAACGTTTCTGAAAATATGGAAGGAAAAGTCAGTGCAGGATTTCAAGCCGGATCCGTATGTGGCAACTTTACTAAACTGTGCAATGTGGTCCTTCTATGGCCTCCCATTCGTTCATCCCGACAGCATTCTCGTGATCACGATCAACGGCACTGGATTCTTCATTGAACTCGCCTTCGTTGCCATCTTCCTCGCTTTCTCTACTTGGCCAAATCGCGTAAGTCATGTTCTATATATAGGACACCGCTTTTATTGTACAAAACACCTCTAGCTAAAAAGATACGCGTGTTTTTAAACGGCATATATCATATTTACATTATCATATAACTATGACACTATCTAATAAAAATATGACGATTCAAGAAATATTCACCTGAATACATAACAATTTATTATTATGAAACTTCGTTGTGTTTACCTAATTTAGTTTGTCCATATGTTGTTTGTTTTTTTTTTCAGAAAATGATCATCATCTTTCTTGTGGTCGAAGCTATCTTTTTGGCGGTTGTAGCTTTCGTAACCCTGAACTTTTTCCACACCACCAAGGCTCGATCCATGATTGTTGGAATACTTTGTATTATCTTTACGATCTCTATGTATCTTTCACCATTGACAGTCATGGTACGTAACAATATATGCTATATATTATGTAATCAATGTTTGATGTTCCATCAATTTTAGTTAATCTTAATTTCTGTTTTTTTTTTTTTTTTTTCGTCTGAGAAAAGTTGTGTTTGACTTGTTTTGTATTTGGTTAATTCATTAATTTGCAGAAAATGGTGATCCAAACAAAGAGTGTGAAGTATATGCCACTATGTCTCTCAGTTGCCACCTTCTTCAATGGAATCGTTTGGGTTATTTATGCTCTCCTTAAGTTTGACCCCTACATTGTGGTAAATATAAAAAATAATTAATTCTACTCTACAACATGAACAGTATGATCTTAATTTTTTATTTTTATTTGAGACCTCTTAATTAAATTAAAAAAAGGAGTATATAAACAAACCCCAATCCTATCTCCTTATATTAGCAAAATAAATAACCCTTTTGTGTATGGGTCTTGTTTTGGCAGATTCCAAATGGTTTGGGAACATTTTCTGCGCTCGTTCAACTCGTCCTATATTGCACATACTACAAGACGACAAAGTGGGATAGTGATGATGATCAGAAGCCTCACTCTGAAGTCCAACTCTCAGACGCAGTTTAGTAATGCAATATATATACAACATCAATGTGTAAAACAATCAGTTTCACTATTTTTTTTTTTTTTTTTTTTGGCTTTGGAAGAGTTTAGTTAATTAGTTAGTTTAAGGTCCCCTAGCAAGTTCTATGCATCAATCTGTTGTTTTGTAAGAGTTTACTTCACAATTCCTAATTTAATTTCGCAAGTTAATTTGGATTTACTTTATTAGTTGTTTAAATTTAATTTAACGTTGCCTCGTTCGTTTCGCTGATTCGAGTTTAGAATTCGAGTTGAGATGTGATTGTATGTGAGAGTTTTCTACTGTAACAAAAAAGTTAGATGCGATTGTTTGTGAGAGCTTTTTACTGTAACAAAACTCGAATTCTAAACTCCAATCAGCGAAACGAACGAGGTCATTTCTTAAGTTGTTGAATGTGTCCAAGTCGGTTGAGATACTTAGTTATGATGTTTCCTACTTTTGTGTCATTTATATGGTTGACCTAATATTCAGTAAAAATCATGTTGTCATATCATTCATTTGGTTGGCTTGTCTCAAAGAAACTGTACAAATTTCGTTTCACTTTTCTATCAGATTATCTGCACAGACTCTCATACAAGAGTCGGCCAAATTTTTCCTACTCAGCCTTTGTCTCGGCGCCATTGACATCATTAGACGTAAAGGTCTTTTCGTTTTCGTGATGCCTTCATCACTAATCGCAAGTAACTTTTTCTACTCAGTCCCTACCTGTTAGCGAAAAATCTACAAGTGCATTGAATCATAGACAAATAATAAAATAGTGAATATAGAGTATCGATTTTACAAGAATTATGTCAATTCTAATCAAGTATCGAAATTAGTCAACACTATAATTTTTTGAACAACCGAAAATAAAATAGAAAAAATAATAAAACAAAATATAAAAGAAAATTTAAATAAATAAAAAGACTATGAGAAAATTCTAGAAGTTCGATTTCACCTGGCCGTCTATTATGTCTTTTCAATGTCAACTTATCACTAATTAATTCTCCTAGTTTATAAGCTAAGAACCTAAATTTATTTCAACTCCCTCTTCTCAGTATCGAGTGAAAAATAATACTTAAATTCTGATTCTAATATCCCTATTGAAAATGAAGAAAATAAGAATTTATTATGCTCTATGGTTCTTCCAAAAAGGCTTCAAAAGAATTATAGGCCTCCCAAATTCTATAAAATCCTAGGTTACATCATCCAACAGTCAAATCTAAAATTCTCTCTCCCGGAGTGTTGGATTATAAATACTAAATCATTTAATCTATGGCCAGTAAATTAAAAACATTAAGAATAGGATAATATAAATAAACTAAATGGAAAATCAAATAATAAAAAAACATAATATCAAGTTATCTTCTTTATTTCTTACGACACGTTTGGTTGGGGGTAATGGAAATGAAAAGAAAGGCAATTCCTTTAGTAAAGTTTGTTTCTTATTATTTGGTTGAGAAATTCACGTCAGAAAAGTCTTTTCAATGAAAAGGCCATTCATCTACTTTGGTGGAAAGGTCATTCATCCAATCAAGAGTGGAATTGCAATCTGAAATTGGTGGAATCATTTTTTTCCCCAACTACCCTCTTCATCTTCTAAAAACACTACTCTAAAATCAAAACCCATCCATATATTTATCAGATTCAGCCTGAAGTTACAGCGAGACTCCATCTCTGATGCTTGCGTCGAGCACCGCCGGGCGCCGCGCCCACGTCCAAAGCCCACGTCAAAAGCCGCCATACATCGTCGGAACTCACATCCACTGCCGAAGCCCATTTCGAGCGCTGCCAAAGATCACCGGAATCGCGTCATTCTGGAGCTCTCAAGGCCGCCGAACGTCATCGGAGCTCGCTTTGAGTGCCTTCAGTGCTCCACCGTCAACATTGAAACTCACAATCAAGCTTGAATCTTTTCATAATTTTTTTTCTTATGTCGCTCTTCTTATTCATGGAAGAAGAAATTTTTGATAGCATAAAATAAATTCAAAGGCTAAGAAACACAAGAAACCGGTTGCTTCAATTGATGGGTCTTGTTTTTTTTTTTTTTTCTTATAAATTTGGAGTTCTTAGAGTTATAAATTCAAAGGCTTAAGAAACACAAGAAACCGATTGCTTCAATTGATGGGTCTTGTTTTTTTTTTTTTCTTATAAATTTGGAGTTCTTAGAGTTGTTCTTTTTGAAGATTGTAATGATTTTTTTTTTTTTTTTTTTAAGATTTGAGTTGCTCTGAACATTGTATTAATTTTTCAAATTTGTGATAAACTTTCAACAATACTTTTGAGGAATATATGTTTTTAGATTTGGTTTTTGTTTAGATTTGGGTTGTTGCTTCTGACACTTAGTGGCCACGTGTTGATATTTGAGTGGTTGAGTGATAAAGATAGCTCGTGCACTGCGCTTTTGAGAGTTGCTGATCTGGTTTTCTATTGCCCTTTTTGCTCCTATTTAATTGCAATTAAGGTCTAAAATTGCTTCTTTTAGTTTTACCTACAGAATTGTGAAAACTTAAATAATTAAAAGGGAAACTTATTAAAAATGAAAATAAAATAACACAAAATAAACTTAAAATAAAATAAATAATTAAAATAAAACGTTAAAAATCTTAAAAATGTGCAAATAAAAACGTAAATAATTTTATTTTTATAGAGTTATCACTGCCTCGACCCTATTGACATCCGTAGATGTAAAAATCTTTTCGTGATGCCTTCATGACCAATCACAATTCTATCATAATTTTTTTTTTGTATTAATCTTGAAAGTTTGCAAGTATATTGTTCCATTGCAAAAGTTATTGTATTTACTCTAAAAATATGCGAGTATAATGTAAGTTATATAACTCTATTGTTTGAAATTGATAAGTTTTTTTATATAAGGTTTAGAGGCGACAATGACATTTTTTTTTTTCTGCGGGATAAGAGCTTTTTTTTTTAATTTTTCTAACTTTATGGGTATACTTTAGATGTCAATTTCTTATTTAATTCTGCATTATTACATATGAATATGTTATTTCGACATAAATCTATATTGATCCATCACTAATATAAACTGGATCCTACTCAAAATCAAAATGGTTTACCAAGCTATTTTATCAATAATTACAGCATAAAATGCACAAGTTAACTTATTATTCCCTATACCAATACCGAGAATTCTACTGTTGGTACCACCAAAGGTCCATTTGTCTAAATTGGTTAATTATGACTACAAAACCGTTGAGTTAGCTCACTTGAACAACGTCCAATTAAAGAACTAGCCTGCTTGGTTCATGGATTAGAACCATGTGATTAGAATCATTTTTGATTGACGTATATTTTTTGTGAGAGAAAATATTGTAGCGAACCACGAATTATGATTCAAATCAGGGAACGAATCCTGATTCGAATCAGGGAACGAATCCCTTTACCAAACGGGCTCGAATCATTACCCACCCACTAGTGCCCCAGCTCAACTAAGGAACTAGCCCTTGATATTATTTTTATTCACTGCATTTTCTCAAAATCAGTAATATTGAAAAGCTTTAGAAAAAATTAGCAAATATACCTATAACTCATCTTTCTAATTTTGCGCCCTTATTTTAAAATTCTACCCCTCTTTAAGTTTTTAGTAATACATAAATAGAGAAAGTAATCTATTTATGACGTTCATCTTTTTTCTTTTTTCTTTTTTCCCTAAACCCTACCCATCTTAAGTTATTATTAATACATTAAGAGAGAAAGTAAGCACATAAATATTAATTTATGACGTTCTTCTTTTATGGTGTTCAAGATTTTCATATCTTTCAGTCCATTAATTAGGAAAACGAATTCCTTAGAGAACAAGGCCTTATTGCAATAATAGTATTTTCTCAAAGTATGTGATGAAAATTATCTTACAAATGAGGTGCTAAAAGAAACAAAAAATAAAAAGAGAGAGAGAAGACAAGATAAAAAGGAATACTAACAAAAGCTTTACATCCTCATAAAATGCGAGATGCAACTTTGTTTTCTTCAGCGTATACAAAGCAGGAATCTTCACCACTTGTTTTTTTTTTTTTTTTCTCCTTGTTAGTACCCCAAACTCTAATCTAGATCGGATCTTTCTGATCCTAAGAATAATCATATATTTATACACCACTACACCAGTTGTTTATCTGATCAAGAAGTAAAAAACCTCTCAGATAGATCAACAAGAAAAGAAGTAAAAATGGTCAAGGGCCTCGATACTTGCGGAAGCAGAGACAGCCCTGAGGCTGGTCACCAGGGATCATACCTCCGCCTTTCGATGTGTCAATCGCCTCCAACAGTGAAACTACCTCGTCCATCTCCGGTCGCTTGTCAGGGTTGGCGTCCCAGCATCTCTTCATTACATTCGCTAGGGAACTCGGGCAACATCTCGGTATGTTTGGCCTCAGATTCTGTCAGTTCGAGACAAAGTAGGAATTCTTCTCTCTTTAGTATCTGAACATTTTGAAGCAACAAACAAATGTTTGAATTGTTACTGGCGATCGGAGAAGAAGTGTTTACCTGGCAAACCACTGCTGAAGTAACTTCTGAGAAACTAAGGTCAGGATATGGCATGTCACAGCAGTATATCTCCCATAAACAGATGCCAAAGCTGTAAACGTCGCACTTCCTGTTATATGGATTGCCATTGAGAACCTGAAATTTTTGACAAATGAATTTCTTAGTGAGCAAGGACTAGTTGAATTTCGCACTTTTGATAACTGGGAAGCTTAAGTAATAAAAAGAGAAGATTACACATCAAGAGAAGATTTTAATTTAGACAAAGTACCTCGGGAGCCATGTAACCAAGTGTCCCAGTCTCCCCAGTCATGTCATTAGGATTTGAAGCCTCGACACGAGCCACCCCGAAATCAGCTATTTTTAGCGTCCGTGTCTTGTCCAAGAGCATGTTCTCTGTCTTTACATCTCTGTGAACAATCTTCTGTGAATGAAGGTAACTCAAACTGCAAAGCAAAGTTCGATTTTCTTCTTCAGTATTTTGCTAAACAGAATCACAAATAGAACTCTCATTCTTTAACTGCCAAATTAATAATTAGTGCTCAAATTTATTGGAAGGAAAGATTCAGCTAGAAAAGAGAGAAACAGATGAGTAATACCCTCTGGCAAGATCCAGGGCCAGCTGGGCCACAACCTTAAAAGCTAGCTTCCTCCGCATGTTCTTTATGAGGAAAGATTTCAGAGCACCCCCGGGAAGATATTCCACAACAACGCAACAGATGCTGGTGGGCATGCCAATTTGGCCGCTTTCAGTCTGTATTTGTAGTTCTGATGAACCCATTGTTGCTCCTATAAACTGAAAAAAACATAGACCACAATGTTGAGAGATCTACCCAGAAACAAAAACTAGGCGGCAATTCCAATGAGTCGAATACTTCAGCAACTCCTATTTTCCGTATGATAATTCAAAAGAACAAATTTAGTTTCGCGGATACAATAATGGTTGTGCTGCATCAAGAGTCCCATATTGTATATCATAGTATTGAAGGGGCCAAACGCCAAATTGAACAACAATGTTCACTGTCTAAGTCTAACAAACAAAAAGGAATATCTGAGTATCGACCCTCTTGAGCCCCAATCGAGCAAGTAGTTTCAATGGTGCTTTATCGCTCAACACCTCAACCGAAACTCAAAGATGTAACAGAACCACAAAGGCAAAACTAGAAATCGCACGTAGAATGAATAACAACATAAAAGTTTAATGGTGTTGCTATACGACATGGTGGGGTGCTCTCTCCATTTCTTGTCATAACTTAAACCATCAAAAGATTGAACATTTACAACTGACAACTAGAAATATTCGTGCTCGACAACCAAAAAAAACAAAAAAAAAAAGCATACTGCTGCAAAAACGTGATCCTATGCAAGTGAGATGATAATTGAATCCAAGTTTCCTTCTGCATAAGACTTTAATGAGCATGACATTGAGTATGCAAAGTTTCTTTCCTTAGTGCACAGTGCACACTAATATCTTAAAAGAGAAGTTTGCATAGATAGGTCCTGACCTTAGTAACATTAGGATGATCAAGTTTATGCCAGACAGCAACTTCTTGTGTAAAAGCTGCTCTTAGTGAAGCAATCTCAGCTTCCGTCCTGTGGCCCTCTTCACCCCAGTCAAGCAATTTAACTGAAATTACAAAACAACCCCAACAAATTACTGTCAATAAATCGTAACAAAACCAACCCCTTGTCAAAATCTAAAATTAATAAGATAGAAACTAGGATAATGTATAAAAAGAGAAAAGGTCAGACTTGGCTGGATTCAGATGGGGATGAGGATGATAATAACGACATAGAAAAATAGTAACTTTAGCTATCATGACATATATATTAGAATTTTTTAATGCAATATTTCAACCAACGGATGGGATCACATGAAAGTTCAAAATAAAATAAAATAAAAGTACAAATCTTCATCAGCATCATCAAAGTTAATGTCCTAACAGAAAACTTCATCCAAAATCCGTGTAAAAGTCACGGATCCCATAAGAGTACAATTGCAATAGGCAATCATCATACCCTCAAAATCAATTAACTTAAATATAAACCCAAAATTTAGCTTCCTAAGAAAAAGAACAAAATGTGAAATTTTTCAAGTTCTGGTGAGTTGTAACATCACTGAGGATGAATTTCTAATGGTCCACCTCATCCAATACTAATTGCAAGGCAACGTCAAAATCAATCTCAATCTCCAACATTAACTACATTCATAACACAAACCCAATTGGACAGCAATAATAATACTTTTAACAAGTTGAATAAAAGTAAACCAAATTAAAAAAAAAAGTACAAATGAGTACGCATAATAAACAAGAAATGGACAATTGGGTATTGAAAAAAAAAAAAAAGAAAAATCCTAAAGCTTGGATATTTCATAACTAAAAAACACATCAAAATTGGGTTTTTCTTTTTTCTTCTGATTCAATTCCTTAAAGTAAAATGGTAATAATAATAAAGAAGGATGATAAGTAAGAACAAACCGGCGACATCTTGGCCGTCGTAGACACCACGATGGACGGTCCCAAAAGTGCCACGTGCAATGACACTCTTGATGAGAAGCTTGGAAGGATCAATCTCCCAATCTTGCCTTTGCTTCAAAGGGCTCAAAACAGAAGTCTTGGCACTAATGGTGGTGGGAAGAAGATCATTGATATTATTATTATTATTATTATCATTATTATTATTATTAATATAAGCTTCCTCAAATATCTTCTTGTTCTTGTTGTCCAAATTCCAAACCTTGTTCAAGTGCCTCTCAAGCTGCTCATCCAAGCTCTTCAGATCAATCTGATCTGCTCTCACAAACCCATCATTGTTTTCCTTCATTTTCACTCTCTCTCCCCAAAAGGAACCACTTTGGACCTCAAATACTCGTCTGGGTCTCTCTCTAAATCTCTCAAAAAACCAAAAAACTCAACTTAGAAGAAGAAGAAGAAGAAGAAGAATAAGAAGAGATTCATTGTTTGTTGTTGTGGTTGGTTTTTGTTCTTGTAACGTGTTTGTGTAAATTGTAGAGGTTTTTGTTGGTGTTGGCAATGGCTATGGGGCTACGAGTCTCCAATCATCCATGTGGGCGGGCACATGGAATTGCCTGCGCTAGACGTGTACTTACTGCCCCACTTTGGTCTCCTCTCCCCTTCCCTCTCTTCCTATTTATTTACCCTCCCTGTCCTTTTTTCCTCTCTAATTTCTTTCTTTCTTTCTTTCTTTCTTTTTAGGGGAATTCCTCTCTAATTTCTCTTTTTTTTCTTTTTTCTTTTTTGTAATTAGTAACATGGGTAATGAATTGAGTTAATCCGACAACTGCTTCCCTAATTTATCCTCAATCTCTTTTTAAATCCTGAAGTGTCCCACAGTTTAATCTCTAATTTATTACATTGTCTTAACTTTGGTTATTCCGTTAAATAAATGATGGAATATGTGAAAATTAACAACTAAAATTGAAAACATAACAAAACAATACAACGAAATAAAAATTAATTTCGTAAATGTTAAATATTTCTTATTTGTGTTCCTAATTTATAAAGATTTCACTAAATATTTAACACTTAATGCGTTAAAAAGTGCGTTAGGAAGTGCATTAATAATGGATAAGTCATACTAGAAACGCATTTCTTTTTATCTATTCAACTTTTTTTTTTTTATAGAAAAATTGCAGTAAGACAAGTTATTTTGCTCTATAAATGAAGAAAGTTTTGATTACTCTTATGTAAAAAAAATTAACGATCGGAATTATAACCGTTCACGTTAAAAATTATGTACTATACAATATAAAAAATGAAAAGAAAAAAAGAATAATAATAATAAATTTTATACAATATTAAAAATTTGACGATATGAATTATAACTGTTCATGTTAAAATTATGTATTTTACAATATAGAAAATTTAACGATCTAAATTTAACTGTTTACACTTAGTCAAATGTTTAAAATTACTTATTATATTGATAGAGAAGAATAATGTGTCCTATCATAGAATTTGAAAGAAGGAAGGAAAAGAAAAACGAAAAGAAAGAGAGAACAAAAATAATAAAGTTTTTGCTAGTTATTTGAAGATACAAATTGGAACCTCAACCATGTCAACAAAGCATCATGAAGGTAGATACGGAATACACGCAATAATTGTCTACCTAAAACTAGAAATTTCTCATTCAATAAGAATAAACTATTATAAAATTTAAAAAAAAACATTAAATGTTTTCACATAAAACATTATAAATTTTCATAAACCTAAAAATGTAAATGTCATGTTGATTAGGCCTCGTTCACTTCGCGGATTCGAGTTTTCAATTCGAGCTGAAATGTGACATTTTCTGAAAGCTTTTCACTGTAACAGAAAAAGTTAAATGTGACATTTTTTAAGAGCTTTTTACTGTAAAAACCTAAAACTAAAAACTTAAATCGGTGAAATGAACGAGGCCGGAGTACACATTAAAGTTGGCTTAAAAAGTCTTGAGGATTAATGAAATTTCAAAGAATGCAAAAGTAAATATGGTATTTTCAAGGACAAATTCGATATTCTCTCCTCTCTTTTTTTTTTTTTTTTTCCTTCTTTTCTTCCGTTTTTCTCGTGTCTCTTTCTTGGGACGATTTTGACATTCAAACTTGCTCTACAACACCCTAGAGAGAAGGGGTGAAAGTTACGTATACAAGTTAAAAAAGTGATGCTCATTTCTTGCTTAGATTAAGGGACTCTCACTCATAATTGTCATTGCAAATACAACCTCCACCGACTCTCCTCATCCACAACCATACATTAAGATAACCATATCCGATGTCCCATTTTCTGTCTCATCAAATAAAAAATTGACACCTTATTGCAATTTACTTTCCATAATAAGAAGCAAAAAAAGAAAGGTTATTTATCTTTTTATACGTTCTCTTTTTTGTTTATTCAAAAAATAAACTCTCAATTTTTAAGTGTTCCAATATATCCCTTAAGATTACCTTTAGTAGACGAATTGTGCCTTTTTACAGTCGACGCTTGATTTTGACCTTTAAAATTACCAAATTGATGTTAGTAGAATGATCTAATAGTAAACTTTTTAAACAATAAAAAAGCAAAGGTCACTACCATTAAGGTTAATTTGGTAATATTAAAATTCAAAATCTAGTGTTGACCGACCAAAGATACAATTTTATCTATTGAATGTAATGTGATGGTATACATTTATAATAATTAAAAATCAAAATTATACTTTTTGAATAAAGCTAAAATACAGCGTATAAAAAAGTAAACTCCAAAAAGAAACCACATCTCCTACAATATAGCGTGGAAAATAAATCATGGATTTGATGCACAAACAAGGCCTCCTCCTGAGCATGGATTATGCAGAAATTATTGCATATAGATGAGGAGAAAAGTTATGTCTTATACTTGAAGAATGGGTCAATTTTCACCTTGAATTCCTCCTACTCACCTTTGAGTCATAAAGGAGGTGGAGGTTCTTTTGTGTCGCTTTGTCTTTTGTATATGTTTTCTTTTTTTCTTTCTTTCTTTACCCCTTTTTTTTTTGTTTTTAATGTGTGTGTTTAGAAGAACAATATTGCTAGCAAAATTTTTGCTAACAATCTAGATTTTGGATTTCATAATTTTGTATGATAGAAACTGTCCTTTTTCATTATCGATAGGAGTTAATTATTGGTTTAGTTGGATCAATTTTTTAACTATTTGGGATTTGAATGTTTACGTTAAAATTTTACAGTGCACGACATATAATTATTTGCGATCATAAATCAAACTGTTAAAAAGTTAATTTAAGGATTAAAACAACAGTTGCAATCTGCAGTAAAAAAATTCTCTCTAATATAGTCTCAAAGGCATCACAGATACATGCAGAGTAAACCAGTTGTGAACATTTTTAACAATAAATTTGTGTATTTGCCATTAATGTATTCATTTTCCATTGGAACGATATTACTACTTTTATTTGCCTCAACTAGTTATATGATGTAAAACTAGAGGTTTCCATATTAAAGTTTGAACTCAAACTGATTTATCTAGTTTTGCAAATAAGATAAAGTATGATTAAAATCTTTTTTTTTCCAATTATTGCAAAAGGATATTGAGTCAAATTTCTAGTACAAAACAAGTGTTTTGCTTGTACAAAAATTATGAATTTCCCAATTTTGGTTCACAATTAGATAGATAGCCCTAGAAAGATTTGATCAATCAAAAATATGGTCCATCAAATATTTGATTCGTTTAACATGGATATCATACTAGACCCCATGAGATCATGCGCACCTAAAGTTTGGTCAATGCCCCATTAAATGATGATTCCAAAAGGGGACCTTAAGGACAAAGGTTGGCCATAAAAATTGTATAGAAGATAATTTTCCAAGTTTTTCTTTTCCTGTCATTTTTATTTTTATTTTTATTTTATTTTTGGGTGATGTATATCACCGATAATAGTTTTTCTACGTACGAGGACCAACTGACCAAGCAATACAGACTTGATCTGAGGCCCCCAAATTTCAAAATTTTTGACTCCTAAGTAAGCACTAAATCAGACGGTCCATTATTAGCTTTACCAATTTACCATATTGAAAGGATTTACTGTTATTGTTGTTGTTGTTAAGGGTGATGACAAAAATCGTCTCTGCATTTCGATATGCCAAAATTTATTTTTTTTAAAAAATATTTTAGAACACAACCGGTGTTAAACACTATTATTAATAGAAAATGGATCTATCTATAGACCTGAAATTCATTTTCGAATAATGAGTTATGGTTAGTATTAGCGGTGTTGAATAATATTGTTATTTATCTTGTGTTTTTTAAAAAAAACTAAGTTAGATAATGTAAAAAAAAAAAATTCTATGTCTAATTGAAACGTAAAAATCTCCATTGTCTTTTTTAAAAAAGCTGAGATTATTCCCTGAGTCTTTTAGTCAAACAAATTAAACTCACTCCTATGTTTTTGCAATCACATATAATTCAACTTTGATATTAAACTTATGTAAGAACAAATAGTCTCTAAATTATTTAGCAGGTGATTGCTCCGTATTCTTTTAATCTCAGTGAAATACCCTTTAAATTCTGTAATCAGTTGCCAAAAAACAAAAAAAAAAAAACCTCTCCGTCAAGTTCTAATGAGTAATTTAATGGATGTGGACAGAAGGTTTTTTTTTTTTTTTACACCTGATTAAAAAGTTTGAGTGGTATTTCGCCAAGATTAAACAAAAATAAAGATTAAATTATCACCTATTAAACTGTTTAGGGGCTATATGTGCTAATTACTCTTTATATAAAATTAGTTAGGAAAAGTAAACACAATTACCTTCCATAAAAAATGATAGTACTACATATATATATGAGAGAAATCCCAAAGGCGTAACCTCAATCTTTACTTTTTCTTGCATTCGGGCATGATAAACTTGGATATTTGCTGGAAAGTATTGTTTTTGTTCATATTGTACAAGATTGTTCTCCTTAAAACCAAATGCAAACTTTCATTAACGGTGATGATCAGGGTCGAATCCCACATTCTCACAAAAAGAATTCCGACTTTAAAAGTGACAATACTCACCTATGGTGAGTATAAGGGCCAGTAGTAAATAGATAAAATCTAAATTGTGAACGGATGGAGAATAAATTTAGACCCCGTTCATTTCGCTCATTCGAGTTTAGAATTTGAGTTTTGCTACAGTAAAAAGCTCTCAGAAACAGTCACATCTAATTTTTTTTACTACAGTAAAAAACTCTCACACAGCATCACATCCCAACTCGAATTAGCGAACCGAACGGGCCTTTAGACTCTTGACTATTGTACTAATGGGACTAGTCGATTTCTTTTATAGACTTTGAGTGGGAGCGCGAGGATATCAACTATTCCCCTTTTTTATTAGTAAAAAAAAAAAAAAAAAAAAAAAAAAAAAAAAAAAAAAATAAAAAAAAAAAAAAAAAAAAAAAAAAAAAAAAAAAAAAAAACCTTATAAATTGCAAAAATTTCATAATTACCACAATGTTAACCCATTGATTCAACATAATTGCAAGTATTTCATCAAGGACTAGTTCTACATGTAACATCATGTAGAAAGACAAGGCCTAACTTTTATGTTTATTTTGTGTAATTATAAAGATTTTGTATATATAGAATAACAAAAACCATATCTGTTGCAAACCAATTTTATATATTTCTAAAATCATTTTTACATATAATACA